AGCAGATGGGGTATGAAAAAATGCTTTAGATGCAGAAAAGTGAATGCTGTAATGTCAATATGCTCTGGCCAAGTTTGACACCATAAACCACTGTCTGTGATGGAGCCAGCATGCAAAGTGAACTATTGCATTCAAACAACCTGTTCAGAGGCCATAAAGTGAGAATCTGGACGGGGACAAAGGATACACATTGATATATTCACACACTGTATTTTACCTAAACACTATTTAGTATTAAGGTTCTTGAGGATTTCAAAGTATTGTCTTTGTTTCTTATTATTATTAATAAATAAAAAAAGAAATACAAAATAAAGAAATATAAATTATATAAAATTTTATGATTTTAAAATCCTACATATGATGCTTATTTATTGACAAATTATATATACATTATTTTATGTATATATTAAACTATTAAAAATATATACATTTAATTCATTAAATATAATATAAACAAATAAAATATAATTAATTTTTCCTTAAAGATATTTAATCATTGGCATTTGCATTGTACAATTAATTACATATGTAAATAAATATATATATACACAAATTGTATATACATGTGTCTGTATATATATGTGTGTTTGTGTGTGTGTGTGTGTGTGTGCGTGCATGCGTCTGTGTGTGTGTAGCATTGTTTAATTTTTAACTTTAAATAAATGTATATTTAAAAATACATACATATATGGATATATATGTATATTTTTTTTTTACAAAAAAGTATAAATAAGTAAATGATTACAACATAATATGTAAAAACACTGTTATATGAAACACCAGTACTGTACAGCAGCTTATTCAGCGGGTTAATGCAATGTTAGGGTGTAATGAAGATTGATGGTAGTGTTCCAGGTGTAATGGAGGCACAGAGGAGCCTAACACCTAATTATGTTTTAATTACTACAACTGTAATCATCGTGCCATCAGCACAATATCTGCCTCTTACAAGCAGAGATGCATGCTTTTCATTTTGTCATCATCTTTACAGTAAAATCATTCTGATTCAAAGACAATATCTAGTGTCTCAAACTATGTTGTTCCATTCCAATTGTCTAGCATCTTGCTTGGGCTATACGTGCTCCAGCACAGGCTGAGAGTTGATATCCAGATATCCTGATATATGAATGCCCGGTGGAGATGGCCGTGTGTTCATCTGGAGACGCTTCTGTCCCTCATGCCTGTAAAGGCCAGCTTGGCGTGAGTCTGCAGTGCTCGGGCTGATTATGGAGCTGCGTATGCCATGTGTCAGTGGGTCACAGATTGGACCGATGCTTTGCCACTCGGGCTCTCCCAGCATGCATCCCACAAGGGGTACGGACATCAAAAGGCCCCGTGTTGCACTCATGCTGGAAAGATGAGGAGGCTGTGCCTTTACCATCTGATCGGGGACAGAGGACACTAACACACATTACAGCCCAAAGATAGATGCAGCGACATGAAATATGCTCCTGTTGATGGCGAGAGAGAGGGACAAAGAGAGAGCTTGAAAATTTATTTGCATTTGCTTGGTAGGTCATTTAGGATTTCTCACCCTAGACAAGAGAGGTAACACGTTTAACTCAGTGGGGTGTTAAGCGTTGAATCTGGTCAATAAATCATTGCAGTGCAAAAATACACAGCAATTTTCTTCATAGGACAACGACTCTTCAATGCATAATGCTTGCTGCCAAAAGTCTGAAGCAATCTAGGATGATCCCACGCATGCATTTTGTTATTAAAGCTATTTTTGTATTGGAGAAATTAAGTAAAAAAAACATTTGCCAGATCCCATCTTATTATCCCATCTAGGTTATTCCCTTGGTTTGTGGCCTTTAAAGTGTAAAGTTACAGAACTCCCTGCTCTGCTGGGTTCTGGTCTGTCACTAAACCATCTGATCAAATCTATTTCAGTAGATCAATGCAAACACACAATCAGACAACATTCATTTGGGCAGCTACACTACTAGGTCAGTAAGATTTTTCTTTAAATAAATAATACTTTTATTCATCAAGGATGCATTAAATTGGTCAAAAAGTGACAGTGAAGACATTTATAATGTAAAAACTTTTGAAAATCTTTTGAACTTTCAATTTATCAAAGAAGACTGGGAAAAAAAAATGCATCACTGTGTTTCCACAAAAATATTAAGCGACACAACTGTTGATAATAAAAAAAAAAAATGTTTCTTGAGCACCAAATCAGCATTCTATAATGATTTCTGAAGTATCATGTGACACTGAAGACTGGAGTAATGATACTGAAAAATCAGCTTTGCCATCACAGGAATAGATTACATTTTAAAATAGAAAACAGTTCTTTTAACATGTAAATTTGTATTTTTTTTTTTTTAAATAAATGCAGTCTTGGCGAGCATAAGAGACTTCTTTCAAATACATTGACAAATCGTGGACTCCAAGCGTTAGTGTATGTAGACGGTTCTACGGTCAAAAGTTTGGACTGAATTTCTATTTTGCATTCTTATAAATTGTATTTCAAGCTTAAAGCTTAAATGCTTAAGATTGGTTTTGTCTTTACAAAGCTAACAGAACAAATCAATAAATAAAATGGAGTTGGAGCAGATGATGGAGCAACAGCCAACAAGTGTCCAGCTTACCAGGCCAAATGCTGCTTAACACACATCCCAGGATGCACCTCAGGGAGTTGGTTGAGAGAAGCCCAGATTTGTAATCTAGACAAAGGGTAGCTACTTTAGAAACTAAAATAGTTTTGATTTATTGAGCATTTTTAAGTCACTGGAGATTTCTTATCCTTCCATTAGTTTAATTTCTTAGCTCTGGTTCACATAATTGGGCATAGGTCTAGTATGATATTGATAGCATAAACAATTAAATGATAGACGAAGTATTCTTCAGCACCCAGTAGTACAAGCCAATTCGTAAAGCATTCACTATGTCTATGAAATCATGATATTTTATTCAACATAATTATTACAGTAATTAAATCAAGACTATTGGGGGTGAGACATATATATATATATATACTACCGTTCAAAAGTTTGGGGTCAGTGAGAATTTTATTTTTATTTTTTGGAGGAAAGAAATCAATACTTTTATTTATCAAGGAATAATTAATTTGATCGAAAGTGACAGTAAAGACATTTATAATGTTACAAAAGTCTTTTGAACTTCCTATTCATCAAAGAATCCTAAAAAAAAAACTAAAAAAAAACTGTACAACTGTTTCAACATTGATAATAATAATAAATGTTTCTTGAGCATCAAATCCTCATATTATACTGATTTGTGAAGGATCATTTGACACTGAAGACACTGACACTGGTGATGCTGAAAATTCAGCTTTGATCACAGGAATAAATTACACTTTACTATATATTCACACAGAAAACAGCTGATTTACACTGGAATAATATTTAATACTATAACTGATTTTTGTTGTATTTTTAATCAAATAAGCGCAGCCATGGTTAGCAGAAGAGAATTATTTTAAAAGTATTTAAAATCGTTCCGACCCCAAACTTTTGAACGGTAGTGTATTAAGAATTCAGTATGTTTTAGAAACAAGATTTATGTTCTTAAAGGACAAATGACAGAATTATGCATGAAAACATTTTCTGCATTTTGTCCCCCAAAACCAAAGTCATGTTAGTGACCTAGCAGCGACATGTGCTGTTGAGTCATGCTTTCATTCTTAATCATCTTTATGAAAAGGAAAGGTCAGAAAGAGACATTAGACAGCTTTTAGCCTTTGGGCAATGCCTTTTACTTCTAAGCCAAATCAAACGACAGTTCCAAGACAGACAAGAGAGATAAATTGTTTTTTCTTACTTACTTTTTAAAGGTTCACGGGCTGATCATGAGGTCAAACAGAAAATAAAATGTTTAATTATTATCTAACATAACCACTCGTTACCCCCTGAAACATTTCACACATGTGACGGTCTTGATCAGTGAAAATATGTGCAAGTGTCTTTTTAAGCTCTACTCTTGGAAGGAATATTTCACTGTTTAACACTTAACGCCCACATCATTCTCATACCTCATCACATTTGCATTTCACCTCCAAAAATTGCTGTCTTCACAGATTTTAATTGTGCCCTTGGTAATAAATTACCTAATTTCCATCCCATTTCCCAGCCATGCTTTGAAATATATATAAAGCTATAAATGTTAAATCTTTAAAGTTCACTGTTGCGTAAGACAGAATCTTGAAACACATGCCACTGCCCTGCCCTCAATGAAGAGACAACAAATCTGCATGGTGTCTATATCTTTCTAGTTTGTGCACATATTGATCTCCGTAGGTGGGTGTTGCTTTCATCCTTCCTAAAACTGCCCCGTTGATAGACTTAATCAGATATGTTTTAAGATTTTTATAAATATGTTTACACTCTTGGTACAAAATTACTCATAAATGCAACTTTTAAGATTATAAAATCAACACGTGAATCTGTAGATCTAGTCTACCTGGTAGCCATTGAAGGTATACGCTGTTCTCAAATGGTGACGTACTGTTTGTATTCAAAACAAATGTAACTGATAAATGTTGCACTGCGTGTTTCTAAGTAATAATTAAATAAATCATTCATATGTGTACTGGACAAGATTGCAGTTTTTGACGGACAGCTGTTTTCAGCACCACGGACAGCGTTGATTTCTTCTTTCCTCCACTCTCTCTTAAATGACTTTATTGCCTTTTTGCAAAATAAAACTTTCAAGTCCTAAATTAGTTTTTAAATACATTCCTTCTGTTTATGATATGGTATATATACATTCAAGTAATATAAAATGCAAGATATCGTTGCTTATCTATGCATTAAGCCGAACAACAACGATTAAAGAGAAATAGCTGTTTTTGTACTTACTTCGTTCATATTGAACATCAAATTTATAAGGGCTATACACAAAAATACAATGACGAGCACATTACAAAACACAATTCGTGCAAAATATGCTCTTGAATGCAAAAATGTCATTGACAATAACATACCGCTCTTTTCCAAAGCAATACGCAGACATCAATTGGTCCAAATACTGTCACTATCCTACTTGCTTTTAAATCTCACAAATAGTTAAACACACACACATACATACAAACTCATTACATTTCTTCAGATCCTAACAATAAATAAAATAAACTAGAATGCATTCCATGTTCTCTCTGCTACCTTTATTTTTGAAAGCAGATATGGAAATGTCCCTTGGTCTTCAGTCTGGGCCATTTAAAGTGGGCTATATTCAATCAGAGAGGGAAAACAAGGAAGCCAGAGAATGTGGAGTACTTCCACCCGCCCATGAGGTTCCCTCTCTCTAGTTTGAGATAGAGTCTGTCTTCACGCTCCAGGTGAAGAAGAACACTGTTACTCGCTGCCTCCCGGGTCACGTCTTGATCACCGGCAAACGCAGATATTATTGGGTATTCATTATGCATCAGATTGACCTAATGGCATGGAAACACAAGATGTGATCAGATGCATTACAACAAGCCAGATTAACCTTTACTTCATAGAACGAAACTGCATATGGTATATATAAAGCCATCATTTAAATTTCACTTGTAACTGTTCATTAATAGATAGTCCTTATTCCAGTAGTGGCTAGTCTCAGTTTAATAAGCCACTAGTATTGTTCATTACATTCATACATTTGTTTCCTTTGCTACTAGTCACTATTCCAACAGTGAAAACAAACTATTCTGTTTTACTGGTATGAAGTTACAAATTGAAATATTACCTTTAGACTAATAATGACTTCCAAATGTTGCTGATACTTATTCCAATTTTACTATTTCTTAGTTACTAACTAACATTTATTCCAGCTTTGCAAGTGGTTATTTAATACAGTACTACAGTAGCCTACATATTTATGTATATCAGTATCTATCCTTAATGGTACTAGTAACATTTTCTTATCTTATTTGTTTCCATTATTTTGTCATATGAAATGACTAGTCAGAATGATACAGTTCAATTAAAATATTTCTAGTAAGATAAGTGTTAGCCTACTATTGGAATACAGAAGTGTCTAATAAATAATATTCAATAGGTACTAAGAAAACTGGAACACATACGGTAGTAACTATTAAATTAAAGAATGAGTAGTAGCCTAGTGTTAAATAAATGTATTAGTAAAACTGGAAACGATACCAGCAGCTATTTCAATGGCCAGAGATTAATAATTAATATAGCCTATGCAATGATAAAAAAAAGCCGATGTAAAAAGAAGCAAATGTAAACATAGACTCGCCTGGATTGTCTGTCGGTTGTAGACCTTCACAACGTGAAAGCTGAAGCTGTAAATGCCTCGACGAGGAGCTTGAAATACACTTGCCTTAAGATCGAAATGATTTCCAATGTTCACTAGTACCTGCAAAGAGGTGTGTGTTCACTTAGTTAAAATGTTTTTTTTGTTGTTGTTGTTGTTGTTGTTTTTTTTTGGGAGGGGGGGGGGGGGGGGGGGGGTTGGGGGGGGGGGGGTGGTAACTTAACTCACAGATATGCGTAAATGTAAAAAAAAAAAAAAAAAAGGGTCTGACCTGATCAAAGTAGATTGTCATGGACTTGTTGCTCATTTCTGATGGTTCGTGGTTAGTTCCTCTGACAGCAGAAAAGGCCACTTTAGCACCAGCAGCCCGGACAGATATCCCAAACGACGAGGTCACTCCTCCTTCGGCGGACGGGTTCGAGTCACACACCACTAAACATTTTCCTTCCAAAACTACCGGTTCTGTGGCATTCTGTCCGAGGGAAAACGCAACGCCGCATCCCAAAAGAAGGGTGGAAGCCAGCACGGCCAAAGAGCCCTGTTCCCTGGCTCTCAACATGACTGTGGAAGACCTCTGAGCAAAAAATACTAACGACCACTCTTAGGAGATCAGTGAAGACGACAGCAACCCTCTCTCTCTCTCTCTCTCTCTCTCTCTCTCTCTCTCTCTCTCTCTCTCTCTCTCTCTCTCTCTCTCTCTCTCTCTCTCTCTCTATCATCCACACACACACACACACACAACGCGCGCACGCCTTATTTGAAAACAACGCCCTAAATTTTCACCATGTGCTAAAGTTTATAAATTGCGCAATAATTTCCGATCAAGTTCAAATCCAAAACGGATGCATCACAGCCTATACAGCCAACTACACATAGCCTATAATTAAAATAACCTTATTACTAATCGGTGCTTTGAAAACCATCACGACACAACAAATCTGTAGAAGGATAATGTAATGTAATAATGTAATGTAAATGTAAAAAGGATAAAGGATTTGTGCGTTGAATGAATTGCCTAGTCCAAAGATCTTAAAAGGACTGTATCCAATTTACTGTAAAGTAAATGTCTTATTATACCACTTTATTAACTTTAACTGCTCAGCATTTACGGCAAAACGAATGTCAATGTACTGTAAGAGGACAATGGCTGTACACTGGTGACATCCCTTTGTTTGTGAGTGTTTAAAAAAAGGAATATGATGTGCTATTGCTCCATCCAGTGGTTGTTATAAGATAAGCATTACATTAAAACATTAAAATTAAGCTCTTCAAATTTGAATTCACACATGCAGAGACTGTTAATCAACTGAAAGATGTAGGCTAGCTTGTAGGCTATACATCATAACATAAACGTGCAAAAGACCGCAGTCTGCATGGCTGACGTCTTTGGCTTTTTCTTTTAGCAACATAAAGATTTTAGGTTAAAAGCAGTTTTGGGTAAGTTACTCTATAAAAGTAGTTAATTACTAGCTACTAATTACATCTTTCAACGGTGTAATTAGATCAAGTAGCCTATACAAGTATTCCATAGCCTCTCAATTCATATGAGCTCATAATAATTATAAACATATTAGCAAAATACTGTATAGATTTAGATTAGCATGTAACACCACAGGACAACTTCATATGTCAACTACTTGAGCATAATGCAGAAAACAATAAAAGGAAAGAAGCAACTCTCAATGGTTACTGAAATGATATTTTAAATAGATATCTGCAGCCAGAATAAAAGTTAGAAAAATAGCATGTTATAATGACTACAACATCCTAGTTGTTTTTGTCTTTGAACCTATACTATAGGCCTACATTTATATATTTTCACTTCTCTGATGTTTCAAATTTCAATTTCAAGACTTGTTCACACATAACCTTAAATAAAATGTGCTTTAGGGGTCAGAACTGTTCATTCATTTTTATGAGACATATTTTGTAGAGTAACCTTTTGCAGCAACTACAGTTTTAAATCAGTTGGGGTGCATGCACCAGTTTTACATGTTGTTTGTAAATTGGGCTATCCTTAAATGCACATTTACTGCAGATTATTTATATTAATCGTCTTTCACACCACAAATTTCAGTGCCATACCATTTCAATTAATAGTTTTGTTCTTATGACTCAGTCAGTGTGCTAATTAAATTACTTTCCAGCTAAAAGATGAGAGATTTAGCCGACTGAAGCAGGTTATTTTGCAGTATTTCCCAGTTCTGGAGCATCCATTATTTCTTGTTTACAAAATGCTAATGAAAAGCAGTCCCACAGAGAATGCCAGTTTAGAAAGCATTCTAGATGTACAGTAATGTGGACCATGATATGGTCCCATTTTTCACTTCCCCCCCCCACATTACTGTACATCTAGTTTCTAGTTTGAACACATCACTCATATCGTTAAGTGCATAATATGCTGCTACAGGAACTTGAAAAAACTCACATTTTCATTTGGCACACGACAGTCAAACAACCATATTTCAAAGTGCACAAAGTAGTAGGCCAAATCAGCAAATCATTAGTTAACAATAGGCTACTTGGACAAACTTCATCTGAGGCAGGGTAGCCGATACTGCATTTAGAATATAGCCTATTCACGACGTTGTTAGCCAAGTCTGTCAACATGAGAGAAGGGATCTCGTTAATCCACTCTTCGTGTCCGCAGGTCTTCTGTGCAATGAGGCGGATTACGCAGATGTGTTTGTGTTCAACCTGTTCCATCAAACAGTCTTCAACTACTACACCGCGAGTTCTGGGAATAGCCGCAACAATCTTTGCAATGAATCTCACATAATTTGGGTCGCGTCCTTTTAAGCAGCCTCTTCTAATGACGGACTTTTATATATTGTAGTATATTATCTCTAAAATTTATCCTTCGCTTCGCCACTACAATTCGCATTTCATGGAATTCAAAGTTGAAACCCTTGGGAAGAATCATGGTGCCGCGGGTAAAACTGCTTCTTGGTGAGTAATTATCAAAACAGTGCGCTAGCCTATGAAAACGAACTTAAATGTTATGTTTTATTCATTGATATCGACCAAGTAACCTTGGGAACAATACATGCATGATTCCCTTTAAGTTTAAGCTATTCTTATGTTTAATGTATAATTCTGTTTGCAATGTTCACACGAAAGCAATATCAAAACCTCAAGTGGCAGTTAGAACATACACTTGCAAAAGTGGTTATAAAGTTGTAAAACGCAGATCAACATGTCGTTGTACTTGGGATATTTATTTGTTATTTAGCCTAGTCTTTATTTATGTACGGGACATACAGACACATGTCACAATTGACTGAGAAAACATCGAAGTGTACTGTATGTTGTCCTCAATTTTGATAATGCAGTGATAAAAGCCAGATAGATAGAGATAGGAATTGGTAACAAAAACACTAACACAGTAAACATTAAATGCAAAGACAGTATACATGTTGTACATTAGAGTTGTATTGGCACATTTAAGAACGTTTTAAGCATGAAGCAAGCTATTCTTGACCATCAGTATCTCTGATCATTATTATTTATTTTAGCAGTCGTTGCAAGTCTCGTCAATCTTGGATTTTCTGGAGCACCAACAGCACCACCGAAGAAAGCTGTAGGTAATTATCTCTTATTAACAATGACATATTAAGTGGGCAAGAAGGGCATTGTGATCTTGTGCAAAATCAGGATTGACTGATTCTAACAATGCACATTGTAGTTGTTTAACCCAAGTAGTTTTAATCTCATGGCAGTCTTCTTAATGCTTTGTCTCTTAAGTTGAAAACAACTCAGGTGTGACACCAGCGGGATTGTGCGGTTCTTGGGTCAAAGATTCTGATGGAGGAATTTTTACATCTCCTAACTATCCTGAGAAATATCCTCCTGACCGAGAATGCATATACATAATTGAAGGTTATTCAGCTTACATTTTGATCATTGTTAATGAGTCATATTTCTATATCTAACTAGAAATTTTAATTGTCCCATAGCTTTTCCAAGGCAATGCATCGACCTGTATTTTGATGAAAAGTATGCTATTGAGCCATCGTGGGAGTGTAAGTTTGACCACATTGAAGTCAGGGATGGACCCTTCAGCTTTTCTCCTATCATCGGCCGTTTCTGTGGACAAGAGAGCCCAAATTATGTTAGGTCCAGTGGACGATACCTTTGGTTAAAATTTGTGGCAGATGGTGAACTAGAATCCACTGGATTTTCAGCTCGGTACAATTTCACCCAAGGTAAGAGTTCTGTTTGTGTCATGATTATATGCAGGTCCGGGGTTCTGGTCCGGCGCCGGGAGGGTTGTTGTGGGGGGTTTGGGGGTGGGGGTGGGGGTGGGGGTGGGGGGTTTGGGGGTGGGGGTGGGGGTGGGGGGTTTGGGGGTGGGGGTGGGGGTGGGGGTGGGGGTGGGGGGTTTGGGGGTAGGGGGGCCCCGGTCCGGAAGGGAGGCACAAGGATATCCATGGCGCCAGGCCTGAGTATATGCATTTGTCTGTATCAACCAATTATATATCCATTTCTTTATACAAGTTTTTGTAAAACCTGATAATCATGTTGTCCAGATCATGATTTGAGATTGAACCATGGAGCATCTTGTTCTTCAGTGGGAGAACATCTGACCATCTGTACAAAGAGCGATATGATCCTTGTCACAAATTAACTTTTTTTGATTAGCGACCTGGAAATCTGAAATATTTTTTCAGTATGTTACAGGTTTAAATGACGTTTTGAATAGCAGATTTTGTGACTTTTGGACTCTGCTGTATCTATTGCAAAACAAAACGCATACACAGTTATAATGTTGGTTTGGTACTGGTGGTTTATTAGTAAGAATCCTACTTGTTTTGGTAAATGCTGTGTTCAGTGCTCAGGTCTGATGGCCCTGCATTTGTAGTGCAGGCACACGTGCAGCAGCTGAGTGGGGGAGGTTTGTGATTTTTCTGATCCCAGTTAATGAAAGCTTGTCTTCAGAGGAGCACACTCAGTCTGCTCCATGCCCTGAGCTCTGTCCTCCTACTTCAGCTTCACCAAATCCTATTGAAAATCTACACTCTAAAAAAAATAAAGGTTCCAAAAGATTCCAAATTAAGTTTTTATTGCAATGATGCCCTAGAAACAACATTTTGGGTTCTCCAAAGAACCTTTTAGTGAACGGTTCTTAAAATAACTATTTTTTTCTTATTGTGAAGAACATTTTATAATCTAAAGAACCTTTGAGCTTTGTCCAATGAAAGGTTTCATTGATGATGAAGTTTCTTCATTGAACCATCAATGCCAATGAGGAGTCTTTATTTTTAAGAGTGTTTGGGATGGCCAAAATATTTGTTATAGAGTATGCATTACTGTTGGGTTGCAAAGGGGTCATAAATGTTTTGTCAGAATATTTTTTATATTTTTCATAGTCACACCATTCAAAGTAAAAATGAATGTTTTTGACTATATTCGACTGAGGTTCGAGACAGATATGATGTCCGTTGGGCTGGTCTCCCTAATTATGTGATGTTAGGCACCGTGTTTATCGCAGCGGCCTAATAAACAGTGAACAGATAGGTAAGCAGTATTTAGGTAATGAAGCAGGGACATGAGGGAGAACCTGCCAGGTCCTGGTGGAAGGGGACCTGCAATAACGTCTTTGTCCTGAGCCCTGTGAATTTTGAGAGCCCTGAAATAAAGTCCAACACAAAATCCATGCATCATCACAGCCAAACACTATGACATCTAAACACTGCGGAAAGCTAAAAAATGAAAGGCAAACTTATTTTAATTTTACAATCAATGATTTTTGGTTATATGTACATCTGGAATACTGTAAAATACAATCCTGCAAATCATAAATCATAGATTTATCAGAGACCTACATCCATGCGTCCTGTTACATCATCATGAGAATAATCTTAGCCCAGCTGTACCAGAGGTAAGAAAACACGAGAGGATTATGGCGAATCCCTGAATGATTTTTAGATTGAAACCCTAAAGGACTCTGGAATATCCTAGTGAGTTTTTGGAAAATGATAGATTAGATCTAGATATAAACTGATCTACATTATAAACTGGCCAGAGCCTATTAACTGTTTAAACCTGAAATACTGTGCAAAAATATATTAAATACAAACAGGCTTCTGTAAACACACCTACATCTTATTACTTATTGCTTTCTCACGCTGTGCAGTCTAATCTGTGTGAGTCTGGTGCAGGGATTATTAATCCACGTACAATCATGACTCAAGCCCCAGGACATCATTCTCATTCCCTAATCCTACGTGTTTCAGTTATTAGGCAAAAAGAAAATAAATGATTGTGCTGGGATATAATTTTTCAAGGTCAGGGAGAGAAGTAAACCATGTGTTTCATTTATCTGTGTTAGTCTTTGAAACCATCAGGGAAATTAAATAACATCTGTTTTTAAAATAGTTCCCATGTTTTGAGGAAGAAATAATGGAGCCTACTGTCCAAAGTTTTGGGGTCCGTTTTTGAAAAAAGTCTCTTAAACTCACCAAGGATGCATTTATTTAATCAAAAAATACTGTAAAAAAAAAAAACAAAAAAAAAACACCGTAATCTTGTGAAACATTATTACAATGTGACGAATGTGATTTATTCCTGTGATGGCAAAGCTGATTTTTTCAAATCATTACTCCAATCTTCAGTGTCACATGATCCGTCAGAAATCATTCTGCTGATTTGGTGCTCAAGAAACATCTCGTATTATTATCTATGTTGAAAACAGTTGTTCAAAACAAAATCTTACTAATCTTACACCTTTGGACGGTAGTGCATGTACACTGTTTTGCATGCTGGTCCTTGCCAGGCTTCGTAACCAGCATGACTTTCCTTGCTAGACCAACTTTTGCAGAAAGATAATTGGGGAGAACTAGTGTTTTTTTTTTTTTAAGATAAACAGCATGACATAAACCTTTAAATTCATGCTGCTCTGCAGAGATCTTTACAACAACAACCACTCATTTAGGACAATATTTTGTGTACTGGCTACTTATTTGAATATGAAATCACTTGTGATTTTGACCTTGTAAACAGATCAAGGCCTTATTCAAATCCTTAATCACTCACTCTCCTCTGTATATATTTTCAGATCCTGATTTCATGAACCTTGGAGTTCCACCACCTCTTCCAAGTAAGTGAAGTGGGGTTTTTTTAAGTTCACCCTCTGGATATCAAAACCAGTTCACGATTCATTGCTGTGTTTTCATGGTGTAGTTTGTGAGTTTGAGATGAGCGGGCCAGAGGGCATTGTGGAGTCTGTAATGGTTGCGAAAGAGGGCAAAGCGTTGCAGACAGAGGCTGTAGACTGCAGGTGGTTCATAAGAGGTCCTCCTGGCTCTAAGGTAAACCTCCATTCACAACTGTATTCAATTCAATTTAAACCCAACATGTTGGTCTAAGCTAGTCTTTTGAGTAGTGTTTATCTTGTTCCAAATGACCTCGTTCAGAAGTTTACCCTCGTTACCTGGATGATCCACAACTTTTTTTTATGTTTTGTGATGCTTGTTCTTGAGTCCATTGTTTATCCTGAGCAGTTAAACTGCCTGATGTTCTTCAGAAAAATCCTGAAAATTCTTGGACCCTTTCCAACAGTGAATGTATGATTTTGAGATCCATCTTTTCACCCTGAGGACAATTGAGGGACTCATACGCAACTATTACAAAAGGTGAAAACATTCACTGATGCTCCTAAAGGAAACACGATGCATTAAATTCAAAACTTTTTTAATTTAAAGATCAAGGTAAATTGTACTTACATTTAAGAAACATTTAAGTATCTTCTGTTGCTTCTGAAGGGCAGTACTAAATTAAAACATTTGATATTTAAATAAAATAAGAAAAAATTGGACATCATCCTGTTCAAAACTTTTCACCCCCCTGCTCTTAATGCATCGCTTTTCCTTCTGAGGCATCAGTGAATGTTTTCACCTTTGCGAAATATGCTGGAAACCTGAAGAATTTGCAGGATCTGGAGGATTTTTCTGAAGAACATTAGGCAGTTTAACTGCTCAGAACAAACAAGGGACTCATGAACAACCATCACAAAACATAAAACCAGTCGTGGATCATCCAGGTAACAATACACAGTATTAAGATACAAGGGTATGCAAACTTTTGATAAATTCAGGTATTTTTTTTGTCTCGTGGACTATATGTTAACACATTTATGTAAAATATCTTATTCAGGACAGTACTAAATAAAAGAATAATTAACATTTTGCAGATTCTGCAAGTTGTATGTAAACTTTTGAGCATGACTGTAAATGTGTCTACTGCACAGATCTATTTGCGCTTCCTGGATTATGAGATGCAGAACTCGAACGAGTGCAAGCGTAACTTTGTGGCGGTGTATGATGGGAGCAGCTCGGTGGAGCATCTGAAGAATAAATTCTGCAGCACGGTGGCCAATGACGTGATGCTGCTGACTTCATTAGGTGTGATTCGCATGTGGGCCGATGAGACCAGCCGCAGGAGCCGATTCCGTATCCTCTTCACCACCTTCCACGAGCGTGAGTCATTAAATCAGTTTTTTTTTTTTATCTTAACACATTTCAGTAGCACATATAGCTTTTTAGCGTTAACGTTGTGATTTACCTCTTATTTTATCTGTATAATTGGACTAACACATTATGTGAGCTGTACTGAGTCACTTTAGCAGTTTTAACTGCATGATATGGTAGTGTCTCATGTGGTTTCTATAATTATCATTTTGCTCTTCAGCTCCATGTGAAGGAGATGCATTCTTCTGCCATAGCAACATGTGTATTAACCACACATTGGTGTGCAATGGTATCCAAAACTGTGTCTATCCTTGGGATGAGAATGGTTGCAAAGGTATATAATCACATATTCTGAAATGAAATACTTGCAATTGTATTTACAAAGCTAATGTAAATAATCCACTTATTAAGTAAAAAGTGAAGGGATATTCGTCCAAAAAAATCATTTACTCCCCCTCATGTCATCCCAAACCTATATCTACTTTCTTTCTTCTGCGGAATATAAAAGAAAATATTTTGAAAAACAGTTTTTGTCCATACAAAGAAAGTGAGTTGGGGTCCAAAACAAAATTGAATGATAAAAAAAAAGAAAAACTTTTTTAAAGTATCTTCTTTTGCTTTCCACAAAAGAATGAAAGTCATACAGGTAAATGATGACAACATTTTCATTTCCTTTTTTAGTAGGCTACACCACATCCATAAATTGTAATAATATTTCACAACATTACTGTTTATACTGTACTTTTGATCAAATAGATGCAGCCTTGATGAGCATAAAAGACTCAAACTTTCAAAAACATTTAAAAATATTACCGACCCCAAACTTTTGAATGTTAGTGTATTTTAATTTAAAGTAACAACAGGTAACTTTTCAACCTTCATAATATATTTCCAAGTCTCTTGTGATGGTACATCGACTTACAATAGGTTGAATGACACGTCTGCCATAGCCTGACGGGGTCTGTAGCGTTTTTAATCGTACTTTTAAACTTCGGGTTTCGGGTAGTAACCGGCGAACAAAGAGAACTACAAAATTCGACTGCTTTACGGCATATACGTCACTTCCACCACCACCACCACTTCCTTAAAATCGGACGTGCGAGCCAAATGTTATAGTCATGGCCGAAGCAGCACAGAAAAACAAGAAAGCAAAGGTTTTATCGGAGCAAAGCAAAAAGAGAAAAAGAGAAAGTGATCGCGTTAAAGGCAGAACGAGGATCAACATTGCAGAGCTGCCAACTCTCACGCATTGGCCGTGAGACACCCGCATTTGATTGGTTGCACACGCTCACACGTACGCCACACCCCCGGTTTCTCACGCTAAATTGTCAACCCGGTCGGTCAAATCCCTGAAAGATGAGTTTATCTATAGATCTACCTGTTGAGCCACTCGTGATCGACAAGTTATACCGCAAATTAGTTCAAATCTCCCGGAATCTAGAGCGAGCGCGCACGCGAGACAGAGACTGTGCTCCAACGCGCGCGGACGGCAGAGAGAGAAAGCGAGCGAGAGACCTTGCGTGTGCAGGGAGCATCAAACCCCCCATCGAAAAAAGAATGCCTCTCTCTGTCTAACCTCTCTAATTCGCTAGAGTAGTAGCGAATTATCAATCTGGTAGCTAGTAAACGATATTCTAGTTTTTGATGGTTAGCTATCGCTAGTATTCTCGTTCTGATTTGAACTTTGCAATCGATGAAATGCAAATAGCAAATGTTTGACCTAAAAAGTGTAGTCTACTCAACATGTACAAAGAAAGGAGGAAGATTATTAATAAAATCATATTTTAGGATACCTAACATGTCTGTGATATTTGTTTATTTGTCTTGCCTCAAGCTATAATGCAAATCGATTTGTAAAATTTGCAGATTCATTTCTGGTAGCTTGATATTATAATATTGACGATATATGGTTATTATCAACCACTCAAACATTGCATTGAAGTATCATATAGATCCAGTAAAACGGTAACCAATAGACTAGGCTACTATAATGACGCTGGCTTGTAAACGTGAGCATCGCGATCATTTGTCGTTAGAAAAAAAATAAAACCCATGAAATTATATTCATATGACATGCTGAAATATATGCCACTGTACCTGGGATGAAGACATTTCAGACGCGACGCAAGCAGAACACCTCCATGTGACCTCCTCCTACAGTGTTCAGGGCTATCGTGGTTGTCAACAATTGCACGTGCATGTAGGATGACGGAGTTTACGACAGTAGTAGAGGACAATACTGTTTCCCAACTGTAGGGGGAGCCCGAGAGCAAAAAACTACCTGTTGTTACTTTAATTATTTGTCATTTAGATATTTTCTGAATTCAAAACACTATACCACATAAAGTTTTCATGCCCCTCTCACACAGAGAAAAGAAAAGCCACAATCCTGGACAGCCTTGACAATACCAATGTAACCATTATTGGAGTGACCTGCGGAGTGGTGATTATCCTGCTTACCGTGTCGATAATCATTCAAATAAAACAGCCACGGAAAAAGTACATAATCCGCAGGGATGAATTTGACCCCACCTTGCTTCACGAGGCCTTTGAACCCCCGCACTACGAGCTGTGCACGTTACGGCAAGCAACCTCATCCGATGATGAGGTGTTACCTGAGGATTTCCCCAAATTGCAGCGCACCTCCTCCAAATGCATCCACGGTCACCACTGTGGCTCCGGGGTGTCCAGCACTCGAGGCAGCCGCACCGACCTCAGCCTGCGAGATGCTGCTGCCATTCTCTCAGAGATGGAGACGTCAGTACAACCCCAGTTCCCTATGCAAGCCACCCCTACTGGCCGCAGGAATATTCTGGTGATGAAGCACAGCTACTCGCACGATGGGGCTGAAGAGTGCGACCTGGATGATGAATTTTATGATGGGCCCACCACCAGCCACGGGCGAGCTGCAATGGACAGAACTGTGCATCGGTCAATATCCAATGACTTTTGATGGTTTTCCATGCACACCAGCCCAGCTTTCGGATTTATTGTTTCTTTATTGTCTTTTGTCTTGGTTTTATTTGTAGTGTTTTGTTTGTTGACAGACACAATTTCCTTGTCTAGTCACTTCATTTTCATCATTTTGCATCCATAAAGGAATATCAATCAACAAACATTGCTGTATGCATTAAATGAACCATTTACTGTCAGTTTTCTTTCCCTGATTTGCCTAGAACATTGTGCTTGCTGTCTATTCCATATAATTTGATGACTGTTATGCATTTTTGTTTTACTCCTAGTGTCGAGAAATTATATTAGGACAGAGGATCATTGCATATGTTTACATACATTTATGTTTCTAAATACTTTAGATTCATACTGTTTCGTTTGGGTCTGGTATTATTTAAAACATGACATAAAATCCTGTCATTACTGTTATGGTTATAATTACCATTGTTTTTTGGGGATCTGTAACAGGCTTCTCTCTTAAACTGTGGTTTAATTTAATTGTGTTTTCATTTTGACTTCATTTATTTGTATATTCATTGCTTTTATGCCAGTGTGAGAACATATGTGCTTCTTTTATACTTTGTTACCCTTCATACTTCAATTTTAATTCTCATATCACATTACTGATAAAATTATAAACAAGCACAGTTGTTATGCAGTCTGATTTTATTGCATTATTATTATAAAATGTGCATATACTGTAGAACAGTTGTTCTCAACCCTGTCCTGGCGTACCTCCAACACTGCACGTTTTCTTTGTCTCCCTAATCAAACACACCTGATTCAACTCATCAGCTCATTAATCCAAGTGATAATGAGCTGATGAGTTGAATCAGGTGTGTTTGATTAGGGAGACAAAGAAAACGTGCAGTGTTGTGGGTACGCCAGGACAGGGTTGAGAACCACTGCTGTAGAAAAAATATTTTTTTCACTGCATGTCTCCATTTTCCAAGCCTATTTGTTGCAATTTAATGTGGTCATAAGCACCACATATAAACATTTCTAAAAATGTGTAATCCTCGTCATAATAACATTTAAATAAGTTTTAAAAGTGGTGTTTTATTACATCCGCCACAAGATGCTGTGATGAGTATTGAGCCGCATAATAGTGCCTCCCACTGGTTTACAAAAGTAATTGCAGGGGAGGAATTTTCACTACTCAAAGTACCCGTAGAAAAGGGCTGTAAATTAACAGGTGGAAAGTTTTTAAGCAAAAATATGTTGGGCTTCTGCATGTCTCCCTTTTTATTATCTCTTGAATTAATAGTATGTGTCCATCTGATCTGTACGAAGTAACACAGAGAGTGGAACTAATGTCGACGTTCCAGTCTGTCGTCGGACAAATAAGTAGATGCACAGATTCTCACGCCTCTCGTCTGTGAAAGTTCTGTGGTTGTTGTATACAGTATAATAGATCTGTAGAATATGTAGACTTTTATACTGGTCTGTATATTTTCAGGGCAACGTTGTTAATTTATTGAAATGTTTAGCTCATTGCGTATCTGACCTCACAGCTGTCAAAAGCTGCGTGCTGTCATTGGGCATTCAGTAAGGAGGTCAGTGGATTCATTTCAGGATGTCTGACTTTGGCACAGAATCGAGTCTACGCTCAGATACTTTTAAACAGGGATCAGCGGGGGAAGGTGGTTTTAAAAAACGAATCGGTATTATTGCAACTTGTGTCGTCGGAGGGTCATTGGTCGCTCTGTATGCAGTCACCGGGCCGTTTATTGCACCAGCATTGAGGAAAGTTTGTCTGCCATTCGTACCTGCAACAAGGACACAAATGGAAAACGTTCTTAAGGTTTTGAAAAATAGATCAGGGTCCCTGGTGGACATCGGCAGCGGAGATGGACGGATAGTGAGTTTCCTGAATCGGACTATCTTTTGATTTGGAGTTTGCACTAACAGTAACGTTACCCCGCTTCAGTAGCGTGGTATATCATGGTCATTCAACTAAATAACAGCATTGATGTGATGTTAGTTAATCACAGTAACCTGTTTATAGTTGAACCATTATCCCAAAATCTCCTAAAAATCTTATTCCTGCATGGTTTGGTGTAGGTTATCGCTGCGGGAAAAAGAGGCTTCAAGGCAGTTGGCTTTGAGCTGAACCCATGGCTGGTCTGGTACTCCCGTTACAAAGCCTGGAGGGAAGGTGTTCATCACAGCACATCTTTTTATATTTCAGACCTTTGGAAGGTAAGAACAGGTCAATCATAATCTAAATGTGGATCTCCTTTTGTATTTTAATCAGTTGAGTAAGCAGCTAGAGATCAATATGATCTCTTAAAAAATAGTGCATGTGCTATAGATGCATCATGTAAGCATCCCTATGCCTCACACACTCTCTGAAAGGCAGAGCCCTTCAAATGGGGACTTTGGATGGAGCATGGCACTTATATAATATATATATATATATATAAGTGACACAGCTTTTTGAATAAAAAAAAAAAAAGTAGGACGGGACTTGATTTTGTCCATCCAATTAGGTGTCCACAACTTATTGGATCTTTGTGATTGCTATTTCTGTAATCTCATGTGAGTGACAGGTTGTCCCACCCTCATGAATAGTCATCATCAGAGAAGAGTTCTTGTTGCAAAGGGGAGGGGCAGTTATTTTGATTAAAGATTATGTGGGCACATGACTTTTACAAAAATAAAGCTGTGCACGGATAAATCATTTATCATAAATACTGCTTTATCCATAAAAATACAAACTGTCCATTTTGATTCCATGGTGACATTAAACTCCTTTCATAGGTCAGTTTTTCAGAGTACTCCAATGTGGTCATCTTTGGGGTTCCTCAAATGGTAATATGATGTATATTTAATATCTATATGTGTGTGTTTCCGATAATGCATCTAATCTAAGATCAGACAAACATTCTTTATCTTTTCTTCTCCACAGATGGAGCAGCTTGAAGTCAAGCTCCAAACAGAACTCCAGAGTTCAGCTAAAGTAGTAGCTTGTCGCTTTCAATTTCCCACTTGGACTCCTGATGATGTAGCTGGAGAAGGAATTGACACAGTGTGGGTTTACAATGCCAAGACATTCAAACCACACAACAGAAATGATAAAGATAGTGAAAGACAAGAGATGCCATAAGTCTTCAGCAGCGATGACCTAGGAAAACAAATACTACTTTCTTTACAATATTGACAAACATTTAGTCTCTGTAATATCATTGTAAAATTCAGACTATTTTGGTGTTATGTTCATAATAAAATATCCCTTTGTTTTAGTACAAAAAAGAATCTATTCTTTCAGCTTTTTTATTATGTGACAAAGAAAAGGATTATATATATATATATAAAGATTTATATTTATATATAAATCTTTCATAGCCTTATTTACACACCACCAAATAAACTTTGCTTTGTAGGGACCAACGCACCCATACAAAATATGAATTACTTATTACTAAAAAGCAGCTAATGAAAAGTCCCTACCCTGATAGAAAAAGGTGCGTTTGTGTGCACAGCACATGCCCAGGTGTGACTATCACAGTTCTATCCCTTAACCTTAACATACATGCAAACCACAAAGCCTCTAGTATTTTATGCTCGCCTCGCATTGTGCCCTGTATTCATAATAATAATAAAAGATTAAGGGTGGTATCTTAAAAATACGGTAACATATTTTGTGCATTATGAGTTAACAGTCGTAGTAGTAGTCCGTATGAAAATGTTCTACAATCCAGCGCAGTCACCACCGGAAAACGCTAGAAAGTGTCGTCGCGTTCTCTGCGCATGCGCGCTGCTCTGTCGTAAATCGAAACCGTAGCACTAGCAGCACAAGCACATTCGGATCTAGAGGCCACAAACATGTTCAGCCGAGCGTAAAATAGTCGACCAACAAGTATCTTGATCAGCGCTGTTTGTGTGCACTACAAGAATAAATAGTGTCCGGTCTGAGATTATGCGGCGGTCATGCTTGGATCGATTTTGTCATGTTTAATTTTAGCGTAATTGTGAGCTGATACTGTGTTTTGCTCCGCGGTGTGTGTTATGTGTTGACTGTAAAGAGGACAGTGCGTCACCGTACAAGATGGACACTGCCGAAGAAGGTAAGCTGTCTAGACACCGAGGCTCTCTGTCTGCTGTCTGTTTGTAGTTGGTTTTTATATGCGATTTGACAGAAGAGTGTTTATCATTATGTGATTATTTAGCCAGGGCGCTCAACCAAATATGCATCTTGCAATTATGCAATTGATGTGGCCTTTGCAAGCTAACAAGCTATATGCTTCCCTGCCAGCTTGGTCTTTAGTACAGCTGTCATCCTCCGAGCACGTCCAAATAAAGATGGCTTTAATATAAATTTGACTTAACAGGGTGTCATGGAAATGTTTAAAAGCACATCAATCATGTTGCCATAGTTTTAACCTTTATCATAACAACTGTAACTCACTCATATTTTGGCCAGGTTTAAACGCACATGAAATAAGATGACAAATTCAACTTAGTAGGTCAGTCAAATCACGTAGGCCTATATCTTCTTTGAAACACTGCAATGAGTGCTCATTAATTTTTTTAACTTTATGTGTGGAAGAGTGATAGTTGTCTCATGTTATTCATTACTATATCTAGTCAAGGTTTCTACAGTTATTACAAGAGGGCACAGAGATTGATTGGCAAGATAGCAAGCCATAATCGTGCTTGCATTGACCTTGTTTTGTTTTCGTCAGTAAAAATAATAAAACCTACTAGTCTTTTTTTCATAACTCGTATTCTCTCATGTTATTGTAGATTCTGGGTTTGTTGCAACATTCATTTCCCGTTCATCCTCATTTAATTGAATGTGTTAGGCTATTTAAAATTCTTTTTAACATGTTTATTTTGCCCTTTTGTCTGGCAGCTGATATATGTAGGGTGTGTCGATCTGAGGGAACTCAAGACAAACCCCTCTACCATCCCTGTGTGTGTACTGGAAGTATTAAGTTCATCCACCAAGAATGGTAAGAGCTTTGTTCATTCAGCGTTGTATTCCCTTTGCGATAACTGTTTTAATGAGATGCTTTTGGTTCAAACAATGTGAAATGTCTTCCAAAGTGTCATATTAGAAGTAACATTCAATGACGAAACCTGGTTCATCATGCCTAAAGTCACTTTATTATTAGTTTATTGTGAGTGCAATAAAATTCAGAAGATGTAATTTGAGCAGTTAACTACACTGAACCTTA